TTGAAAAATTATCAAGTTGAGAAGCAAAGGTCAAGAGGAAAGCCCTGCTGTACACTTCAAGAGGCCCTGCATGCTCAAGAGAGAATTGTTTTTCTCATTCATGTGCCCACAGATTTAATACTTGTCCAATGCCATCCCAGTCCACACACACGCAGTTTTCTAATGACTTCACTTTTTTTTACTTTTCAATATGAACTAAATACTTTATGTGAGATATGTCTTAGCATTACCCTCGCTTCCAAGAAGGATTGTGCTAAGGGTAAACTGCCCTACATATTCGGGCCATTTCTCTGACATGGTCCCTGCTCCATGGATCCTCCACCTACTAAAGAACAGAGACAAAAAGAAGGAAGCAAAGGTGAGTGAATGAGAGTTACAAATATTATGAAAGGAAAAAAACATGGAGAGAGAATCTTTCTAGAAGAGTAAGATTTATCTTAATGTAGGTTATTTGACCTTATGGAAAATGAATCGTTGATATTTTATATCAGGCTGGAATTCTCTGTTTTGTTCTCAATCTCATGCTCAATTCCTGTTATTTTTGGGAATGCAGACCCACACCCTCCTGAACTCAGGGGCCCTAAGCTCTTGATGATCTTCTCTTTCTTATCCTAGTCTCTCTTTTCTACTGGGCCTTCTTGCCGGTAGTTAAACTTATGTAATACTCTCATCTGAAAACCAAACCAACAAACAGAATCCATGCTGAGCCTGAGTTATGCTCCACTTTTCCTCTTCAACCCAACATAAACTGTTCACTCTCTCTCATTTCTCACCCACCCCCATTCACTTCTCAACTCACTGGAATTTGACTATTCAAAATAGTTCCCTTCAAGGCCACCAAACACCCACCCCCTCACTTCCATGTGGCCAAATCCTTAGGATACTTTTGATCCTATTCTTGAAGTATTAGGCCTTCTGGATCATTTTTGTCCCCCTGAAATTCTCTTTACTGGGCTTCTGTGATACCACGGTCTCTCTCCCGCTCCCTCCTCAACCTGCCTCCATTGCTCTTTCTCAGTCACCCTGGTCAGGCCTTTTATTCCTCTCCCTGGATCTTATCTTAAATACTCTTTCCTAGATTCTTTCCCAGGCCCCCTTCCCTTCTCCTGCTCCCTAATTTAACTGATGGACTCTTCTGTTCCCATAGCTTCAGGCACTATGTAAATGTTGATGTCTCCCCACCCTGTACCACTAGATCTTGCCTTTTGGACTTAGAGGAAGACCTGGGATTGGATCCTGGTGGTGCTATTTACCAGCTGTCTGGCTTAAGCATGTCACAGACTCTTAGTGCTCCTGTCCCCTCATCTTGACAAAAGACATGAAAACCAAACCTCATCTGCAAGGTGACTGTAAGACCCATCAGAATAGTATACCTAGCACTTTCTCAGTCATTTCATCCATAAAATGAGGAGATCTGCCCAAATTACCTGCCTGGACTTTCTTCCACTTTAAATTTATTAACTCAGTGATAAACATAGAATAAAAGAATAGACTGTGGCAATGTCCTCCTCGTATTATTCAAGGGATCATTTGCCAATCTGTACCTAAAGAGAGGCACCAGCCACGCCAAATGTCCAAGATAAATCTTATCTAAATCCACCCAGAGAGGAAAAGACTTCCCATCTTCCTGACTAGAAAGGAGTAAGACAGATCCATGAATTACACTCACATCGCAACAATACTAGGTAAGGTGAAAACCAGTTCCAATGCCCATCGGCCTCAGGTGCTTCTAGCATAGAAAGGGCCAGCGGTTCCTTTACAAGCAGTGTCAGAACAAAGTATGGGGTTTGGAAAGAGATGATGTTGTGCAAAAGGCAAAGATAAGAGATATTCACCCCAAGCCTTGGATCCACTTTAGTCATACTACATTTTTGGCAGAAATATTCTGATCTCAAAATCTCCCAAATACTGCATGGCAGAATTTCATTCAATACTGTCTAAAAGGCATTCAGTCATTCATTCAAAAGCTTCCAGAAATCATTTGCTGAGTGACTCCTTTGTGTAGGTACTTTGTTAAACACTTAGGATAAAATAGTAAACAAAAAAGACATGATCTCCATTCTCCAGAAACTTCATTTTGGTGAAGAGAGATATAAAATGTACACGTGAGACCTGAATTCTTAGGAGCCGGCCACGCCCACAGCCAGGAGAGGTACATCCCAGAAAGAGAGCCGAAGCTGGAGGCAGGAAGGAAGAGGAGAAAGGCGGTGTGCCTGGAGCAGGCAGACGGAGGCAGAGGGAGGAACAGGAGGACACAAAGCAGGCAGGGGCCAGTGTGCAAAGGCCCTTAGGACTGTACTGAGCACCCAGTACTGTGCAAGGCACTTTTCTTGGAGCTGAGCGATTTGTGCTACTTTATCACTTTCCACAGTATTTTTCAAACAGAGAGTGAAGAAATCAGTTAAGTGGATTATGATCAACATTGTTTAGTGACACAATAGAATAAACTAGAAGACAAAATATCAGAGTGCATGTAGTAAGGATGGGTATTATTTGTGCAATCTTCAATTCACTTGCACACATGTATACATGTGTCCTTGCTCCGCCTTTCTCAGCCCCCACCCTAGTGACATTCTGGGCCTGATGATCCTTTGTTGTGAGGGACTGTCCTGTGCCTTGTAAGATGTTAGCATCCTTGGCCTCCCCAGATGCCCACAGTGCCCACCAGCACATGCACACGTGTGCACACACACACACACACACACACACACACACACACACACACAGCTAGCTGGAACAACCACAAAGGTCTCCAGACACTGCCAAATGATGTCCGCAATGGAGAACCACAGTACTAGTTGTAAAACCTTTCTGACAAAGGAGCCGTGGTCTCTAAACTCTCAAAGTAAATGACAGAATGAGTGCATATTTTGTCTCATGCCCCTTTCTCCACCCTGATTCCTCCCTGTGTCCCCTCTATTTTGTCACTTCAAGAAGGCTGCCTTCACTTTCCACCCTTCCTCTCCGTCCATCTCACCCCCCAGTTCCTCCTACTTCCCCTTTATGTTCTCTTCCTCTTATCCCTTCTCACTTACCTCCTTTTCCCCCTCAGATCGCAGGCCAAACCAACTCTCTCATAACGTTTTGGAAATCTGTGCATCATTATCTTTGTAGGTAAGGCAGCAGCACCTTGCCGGGCAGCAAACGCCTCCTCCCACACGGGGCTCACTTACGGAGGGCCACACAGGTGCGCCCCTGCATTCGGGACTCGCGCGCTCTTATTTCCCTCCCTGTCTTTTTTCATGTGTTCTGTATGTCTGTTCAGACACTAGAGACTGTGGAAAGAAACCTCATCCTCTGGCAAAGGTTTGGAGGGGAAGGAGCGGGTGTAGTAATGCAGGAGACATTTTAAAATACACGCTAGACAAAAAAGCATGCGAGGCAGGAGCAGCGCTGGGAGCAGGGAGTGACCGAACAGGTCTTTTCCAGCCCTGAGTTCTTCGCTTCCTCTGCTCTGTGACGCCTCTCGGCCCCCCGCTGTGTGCATCTGCTGTCTGTCACACACTCGCCCCCTCCCCCTGCAGGGGACGTTCCCTGCCACTGACACCCGCTCCCTCTCCCCCAGGAGGCGCATGCTGCCCTGCTGTGTGCTTCCCCCAGGCCTTTCTCTCTGCTCTCCTGCTGCTCCTGTGTCCACCATCACTCTCTCTCTCTCTCTCTCTGAGCGGCCCCCTTTTCATTTTCCACACTCTGAGCTTTCCAGTTCTTCCTTGTCCCCTCACAGTGTCTTGTCAGGATTTCCCTTCTTTCTCCCGGGAATGAAGCTTCTCCTGCCTCCTCTCTTTATTACACACACACACACACACACACACACACACACACACACACACACCCATGCAGATGAATACTTTCTTGTCCCAAATATTCTATAGACATACTAGTGGAACACAGACCGAAATGAATAGTTATTCTTCTCCAAGTGCTTTTGAAAAATGCAACTCTGTGCAAACCGTGCTTGCTCTCCATGCACTGTCTGCTTTATCTCTGGCAGAGGTTGGATTTCCGGAGAGGATGCAGGTCATTCCTCCACAGTCCTGGAGGCTCAGGGTGACCAGTCAAATGTTTTTATAAAGGAAACAGTGCTAGCATTTCGGGTGACACAGGCATCTGAGACTCTCCAGGTAAGCTCTTGAACCTTTGGTCCTGCTGAGCCCTGCTTTTCCTCCCACTCCTCTGACAGAAGTGCCATTAGGCAGACTTCACTGTCTCTCTCTCACCACTTGCCTGTAGGAGAACGGGAAGTCTTTCAAATGGGCCGTAGATGCAGCCCCTGTGCTTCTACATTCCTCCACGAGTACCCACCAGACAATGATAAAACCACATGTACTTGTGTAGACTTCGTGGAACATTCCACCCATTATTCCCTTAGCAGCTTCTGACAAGCCCAGGAGGAAGGAAGAGAATGAAGAAAGAAAAAAACCAAAACTAACTTTGAATGACTAACTACAACTGTGTACCCTTAAGGGTTTTTTTGTAAATAATCTCATTTAACTCTCATGGGTGTCCATAGAGAGTTGCTACGATGATCTAGGCTCAGAAAGATGAGGATACTGGGGCCCATCCAGCCAGTGCAGAGCAGAGCTAGGTTCAGGCACTCATCCATTCAACAGCTATGTATTCTGAGGCTTTACTGTGAGTCAGGCACTGTTCTAGGCCCTTAATTCCGTAGGTTCTCTTTGCTCAGGGAGAAAAAAGTTGCACACAAACACACACAACCTGTGTTACCAGCAATGACAATAGGAAAGAAAACTATGATCACCTTCATTAGTGGCCAAAGAACCCAGAGCTACAATGGCATGAAGAGTATAAAGAAATAAGCAGCGTGGGTATCAAGGATTCTATCAGAAATCCCTGTTTTGAATTTTTTGCCTTCTGTGCCAGGTACAGCCTCCTTTATGAAAGAATAATTTTCTAAGCCCCTGTTGAGTAAGTCTTAGAGAAGAGACATCTTCAAATAATGACCCAGGCCCAGAGTATGAATGCACAATTGATCGCCTGACCTGCTTGGCTGGGCTGCCTGGTCCTCTCATGCGCACACCTGGGAAGGTACCCTTGGCGGCATCAGTCCCCTGAAGGGCTGCACATGATCTGTGACAACCTTTCTTGCTGACACACACAGCCCTCATCGAGTGCCTTTCACTTTCCTGTGTTAGTGCCTTTTTCTTCTGGCCTGGAAAGAAAAAAAAAAGATTGAAATAGTTATCTTTCTATTATGGGGAAGGAAATGTCCCTCAAGCTGGGCGAGGGAGGTGAGCAGAGCATTCCGGGTTAACCACTTTGGAAGCGCAGGGGCCGTGCTCCTGCACGTCCCCCCACTGGGTCCCACAGGCAGAAGCACCGCCAAAGGGAGTCAACCGCATTTGGATCCTATAAAGAAGCTACTTCTAACTGCTAATGTGGAGCAAGATAATGAAAGGAGGCCAGGAAGCACTCAGCAAAGTGATAATAGGGAAATTATGACATCTGTGGCCCTATTTGGTCTCTAGTCAATAAAGCATGCAGCCCAAATAACTCTCCCATTTCCCCAGAACTGCTGGAAACAGGGCTGGTCCCACTACTAGGGAAGAGTTGGAAAATAATATATAAGAATCCATGTTCCAACCCACACTGATGGAGACCTACCATCATCTCCCCTCACCCCAAAGAGCATAAGCTCTGACACGATTATGGACCATTTCACAGCCCTCAGGTTTCCTGTATTCACCTGCTTCTGGGCCCTTTTACAGCATATCTATATGCAGTACAGTCTGTTTTTTTCCTCTAAGACTTAAAAGAAGAGGGTTGCTCTCTTTAAAATCACTGCCAACGCTCATCTGAGCTTTTTGAGCCTAATGTTTCTATCTCCCCTTTCTGACCTAGACCCAGAATGTGGTGGTTTTCCTCTATTGTGGGAGGAGAGGCTCTTCCTAGCTCAGGAGGAGTGAGTTAAATACAGACAGCTGAGACAGTGTCTTCGGAGAGCACTGGGGGGAAAGACTCACACACTGCAAGCAATCTTATTTTTTCAGTCTCCTGGAACTGAAATGAAAGCCTTTTTTTTTTTTTTTAAAGAGCAAAATCCAAATACAAAGACTTGAGATGCTGGGGTGGTGGTGGTGAATAAGCCAGTCATTTTCGCATGAACATGTGGGACCAACTCTTTGTTAATAAAGATCAAAACATGAGTAATACAGAGTGAGTAGTCATCTGCCGTCATGACATCCCTTCAAATGCATCCTGGGAACAGGTTTGTTGCATTAATGAGAACCAGGATTGTTGTCATAAAATTTCTAATTTCAGTCATGTCTAAATATGTAACTAATCAGCTAATGCAATCATAATATTTCCTCAACTACAATCTGAATTTTATTTTAACCAGCCATCAAAGAAGAGATAGTAATTCTATCTTAAGGTTATGTGCCTTTAAAACAAAATTCAAATTTTGAATGGCTTGTCCTACAAATCGACAGGAGGCATCACTTGAAGAGTGACATGAGCTTCAGAACACAAGTGCACTCACTCTCAGATTCAATATAAAATCTAATTCTCCACAGAAACCCTGTCCAGAAAGCTAATAAGGGGACATCAAGAACTAGGACTTTTATTTTATTGTGCACACACATGTGCATGCGATACACACACACACACACACACACACACACACACACACACACACACACACTGCCAGTATTTGCAAACTACTCTATTTCAGATGCTGGGATACTTTTCAGAAACCAAACCAAACAAAGGATGTATAGAGAAAGGGTTTACTGAACACACCACATTAAAAAAGGATATAATACTAAACTAGGAAAAGGGTCACAAACACATACAACTGACACACCTAGTAATGTCTGGATAGCCACCAGAAGTGGGGGGAAAGCATAAGGAAGAGAGGAAGTGGGAGGACAAGGTATGAATTGCCTAAATTGTCTGAATGACCACAGCCATTTTTTCCAAAGTGGTGGTCGGGAACAATTTCATAACGGATGCACATTTTACTGGTGCCCTCTCACCCAACAAAAAGGCTCCTGGGATTATTGAGAAAAGCACCCCAGAGAGGATAACCCTGTCCATCCAAGCACTTTCCAATCCAGTTGTTATTCATAAAATGGTGGTATGTATGGACTCTGAATGCTCAGCCTCAGAGGTGGTTGGGGAGATGGACAGCAGAGGGCTGGACATGCGAGACAAGTCCTGCATTTGAGTAAGCACTAGGGATTCAGTAACTGGAGACATTGTCAGATTAGGAAACAAAGGGGGAAAGGAGGGTTGCAATGGGAGTAGGGGAACAAGGGTGACCACAGAATGGCTATAAAGTGATAATTTCCTAAGAGAAAGGAAGAATGGGAAACTGTTAGTCTAACTAGATTCTAACCAGATCTGTAGACAGTTTAGGGAGAATAACCAAGGGCAGGCCATAGATACAAATTGGAATCCTGAGATCTGGATTCAGTCTGCAGACATCTTCTATTTGGCCTGCACAATTTATTATTTAATTCAAAATTCTGCAGATTGGCAATTTAGGCTGGGCTTAGCTAGTTGGTTCTTCTCATCTGGGCCTCCTTCTGTCCTTCTACATCAGCAGGCTTCTGCAGGTCGGGTGGATAGCTTTGCTGATCTTGCTGGGCACTGTCACATCTCTTGACGAGGACAAGTGGACTGACTCAACTCTGGTCCACATGGTTTTATATCCTCCCGTAGGCTAATCTGAGGTTGGTCATATGGTAGTTGGCCAGAGTTCAAGAGAGTAAGAGTAAATACACAAGAACTAGCACCTTGTCACTTCCACAACATTGTAAATCCAGAGTAATTCACAGTCTGGGTTTTAGGGTGGAGAAATAGATTTCACCTCTTCATGGGAGGAAGGGCAAAGGCTCATAGCCAAGGGGGGTGAATACTGGAAGGCATGAACAACTGCAGCCATTTTCGCGTGCACGCTCCCACACCCAGGAGCTAAGCCTGCACTCCTACGCCTGAGAGGCAATCATCATCTGGAGCCGTTATGGCTGCACCCTCTAGGTGGCTGTGCCCACCAACATTTCTGGTGCTCCTTATTATCTCCCACTGTTACAACCAGCCAGCTGACACACTTATATTTCCTGCTTGTCCCCTATTATCTTCTAATTTTATTAAGGCAATAGAAGGGAAGGAAGTAAGCTAATAAATTCTTCCCAGTGTATTAAGGGCTCTACCCTTTTGATATGTCTCTTGTTCTTTTTCCCTCATGACAAAATCTTTCCTTTCATGATCATCTCCCTTGACCCCACTTATTTTAATACTGCTTATAAATTCTGACATCTAATAAAAACTGATATTATTCCTTGGGGACAAATGGCCCATGAACACTCCTTTATCATGGCCCAGGTATGGCACATAAGGACCCCAAAGCCAAAAACATATGGCTGATTAGTCCTACAATAGCACATGATTGTCTACTGGTAGGGAACAGAAAGGTTAAGTATATTTCAAAACACTTTTTAAAATCCTTGGTCTAGAAAAAGAAATTATTCAGATCATAAAATTCCTAACCATCCTCCCCTTCTTCTACTTGTTTCATCAGTGATTTCAGGCCAGGGAAATCACTCCTGCTGTATCTGTGGTCTGGCATGAAATTCTGTCCCCAATTCAATTTCTTTCTCCTCTGTTCCTCTCACCTTCAAATATAGAAATCTTGCTCATCTTTTATATTTAATTCCAAGGCCTTCTAAACTTCCCTGGATTTACCCCTCTCTCCTATACCTTGTGCCTTAAACCTTCATGGACATTCTGCCATTCTGCCTGAATTTGTAGTTTTTTATTTTTACCTCTCCCCTTTTCTTCATTTCCCACCCAGTAACATGCAATGGACATTGTACCCTTCTAATGTCTAGGATAATGTTTTCCATATGGCAGACCCTAAAGGGTTTTTCAGAGGAATGAGTAAACACATGATTTTCATCTTGGTTTAACAACAAAAAACATCTCCAGCCTTACATTAACGCACATGGTACATTTATCTGTTTCAAAATGCTGCCATGTGTATTATCTCATTTTAGCCCTCTAGCAATCATGAAGTTTCAGTAAAAGGATTATGACCCCATGTGCAGATGAAGAAGCAGAAGGCTACAGTCATCAAATGATTTGTCTGAAGTCACTTAGGTAATGGTTGACTGGGCTAGGATGAAAACCCAGATCTCTTGGTTTTTAGTTCAATATTCTTTTTTCTTATGATCTCAGTGACAGCACTCTAGTTTAAAAATTAAATATAAACTATACAGAATTGGGGAAGAGGAAAGTTCCCAATAAGTCAAAGAGCATTAGGAGACCACAGTGCCTCAAATACAAGGAAATTTCTAGAGCTGGCTGCTACAGGTGCCACATCCATTAACAAGGAAAGTAGTCAGAGGTCCTCCCTACATAGAGATTCTCACTGATAAACTCATCTTCATTAGCGGATTGGAAATGGAAAGTAGCCAGTTCCCAAGCTAGTTTCCTTCCTGCCTCCACTAATTTAATGATGTTTTCTAGCTAAAACAGATAACAAAACCTCGGAAGCTTGGTCTTTTAGCATACTTTTATTTGAATGGAATCTCAGAGTAATCCTGAGGGTAGGTTATTGTCACTCCCTTTTACAGAGGAAGAAACCAAGGCTCAAAGGTGAACTGACTTGGCCCAAAGTCACACAGTTAGAGAAGAGCAGAGTCAGGATTTGAACCCAAGTGTCCCTGCAAACCCTGTACTGCCTGCCCCATGGCTACAAACACTTCCTAACATCCACTGCCATGAAGAGCTCACGGGTATGCTAGAACAGTCTGCTGAGAATGAGATCACTCTTCTCTGCTCTTTCTCCTCGCACATCTGTCCTGCAGTCCTTGGTGGCTTGATGCCAACAACATTACTCCCTTGGCCAAGCCATGTATCTACTTTCAGACGCTTGAGTGAGGTGGTCTGGGGCACTATCTTGTCTTGTAAAGCAGGGTTAGTAAGTACAAGAGCTTCCTGTGCTGGTTGTGGGATTAAATGAGATCGTTTTCATCAATGTTTTGGTATAATGCCTGGTATGTCGTAGGTTCTCAATAATGTTGTGAAGGGGAGCAGAATTCACCACCGCAGAATATGACTTTTTGGCATAGGATTCTTTTAGGCTGATTATTTTTTGTAAGAAACAGCAGACACAGGAGAAGCTCTGTAAATTGAGTGGAGTTACCC